ATGCCACCATGCCGGAATTTCAAAATTGGTCGAAAAAGGTTTTTAACACCGATTTTTTATTTTTTAGGATATTTTTAAGTACATAAAACGTGTTTTAATCTCCGCAGAAAAATTCAAAAAACCCGAGGACCGCCAGTAAGCGTAGTAGAAAGTTCAGAGTTTCGGACACCGATTCAGATAAGAAGCCCTCACTTTATTCCATGTTATGGAATTGAAGTTTAATTATCAATACTACAGTATTTTGCGTAATTTAAAAAATTTCGAGAATTAATTATAAGTTTCTAATGGAGTCAGAATCGATTATTTATATTATTTGTCATGTTTAACTGATTATTTGATTTTACAGCTTTAAATGCATGATAATATACTGGAATTGGTAAAATGATTGAGTTGTGTTTCCTTGTGGAGCATGCATGAAGGAGTCAGATGCTTCTTCTATTCTTTTTCTTGCGCAGCTGGGCCATCCTATACTTGAACCAGAGACCTCGCCTGTGAAGTAAATCATCGCACCTATGGTCCAACCAATTGGGAGAGAATCAATAGACTCCTTTTCGAGAGCAATTCATCCTTCCCGAACGCAGCATATAACCCTCCGTTGTACTACGCTCTCCAAGTGTGTTTGTTCCCCCTTTCTTCCTTACCACGGCATGTATTTGTGAAATAACTCAAACCAAAAATTAAATGTAAACAGAAAATTGATTGGTTAAGTGAATGAATAAATAGTAGTCTAACTAGATATCTTGAAAGATGGTGGACGGACCAGATATATAGAGAATCCTACTGTGAACGTCATCTCATACCGGACGGTGTATCGAGGATTGATATTTTTTGCGCTCATACCAGACGGGGTATGGGGGCGACCCGTTTTACCCTCATATCAGACGAGATATTGAGGGATGATATTTTTGGCGCTCATACCGAATAGGATATAAGGACAACCGGTTAGTTGATAAGGTTGAATGTTAGTTCATGCGTAGTGGGATATCTCTATGGACCCCTCTAGATACCAATAAGTAAATAAAAAGAGAAAGTTGTTATTCTTACTTACTTGAATATGAGATTATGATATTATTGAGATATTGTCTCTGTAGGTCAGTTTTAAAAATCTCACAACGGTAAGTATGTAATAAATAGTTTTACTTATGATAAATGAATTTACTTAAATTAAGAACTCTATTGATTATTTTTATGATTTTTACCAACCTTCAGTTTTTGTATCGGTGAGTAATGTGATATTCTTACTGGGCTAGTGTAGATCACCCATTTATTAACTATTTCAGATCAAGATGATCAAGATCCAGATCTTGATCAATAAGGGGGTTGTGAATAGTTCACTGCCTCAACTCTTTCAAAAGCTAGTGAATGTCGTCCTAGGATACTTAGTTGTTTACTTTTCGTTTATTTCTTTAATTTTTATTTGTTCTTTTGGAAAGGGACATTCTCGTAACCCTATTACGTTTTCTAAATTATTGTGTAAGAAATGTAAACCTTAAACTCTATTATTTCGTTTTCGCATTCAATTTATAATTTATTTTCTTTTAAGTTCCAAGCTATTACAGTTGGTATAAGAGTCGCGTTCCTCTGAACCATTCCTTACACAAAGACTTAAAAATACCAAATACAAACTATCGTTCAACCCTTCCTATGAAAAATAATTACAAAGACACGAGGAGATGAGGTCCCTTACTGAACATGGCAGCTCAAGACGAGTCGTTTCGATAAGATGTCGATCGGCTCTTCGAGATTTTAGAGAGACTCATCTCTACCTAGTAGGTCAGGAAAGAGATGAGGGAATTGTCTGACCCTCTACCACTTCCACAATATGAGCCACCCCTACAACGAGAGGATCTAACGCCACCTCGATGCAATTCTGCTCCTCCGTCGTATCTTCCGACACCGTCACAATATAATTTGGAGCCCCCACCGTATCATTTGACACCGTTACAGGGCCATCTAATCCCTCCCTAGTAACATTTGGTCCCTCTTCCACGGGACTCAGTTTCACCCATGATAGACCCGATAGAGATTAACACAGGGGACCTTGATGTATTTTTAAGAATGAACTGCTTAGCGACGTATCACGCAACTGTGGATTGTTTCCACGAGAAAAATTGTATTTAAGCCTCCTAACGAAAAGTCATTTACAAGTTAATAAAGGATTTGAATATTATTCCCTCACAATAATTTCTTTATTACATAGCACTTTAAATCACTTGTTTTCTCTAACTAGGCAAACCTAAGAAAGAAATTTACATTCAAGAGATCCTGGTAGTCTGAGACTTCCTGAACGTGTTTCCCAAAGAACTTTTCAGACCACCTGTGGATAGGGAAGTTGAGTTCACCATAGACCTTTAGTCTGCCACGCAACCTATCTTAGTTCTTTCTTACTACATGAGTCATGTAGAGATGAAAGAGTTGAGAAAACATATCGATGAATTGTAGGATAATGCATTCATCCGACATAGTGTGTCTTCTTGGGGTACTGGAATCACATTTGTAAGGAATGGGGGATGGGACGTTAAGGTTATGTATTGACTACAGATGACTGAACATGGTCACGATCAAGAACAAATACCCCATCTCCAAGATCGATGACCTTTCTGATCAGTTGCAGGGTGTCCAGTCTTCTTCAAAATAGACATGGGTTCAGGTTACCATCAGGTAAAGATCAAAGTAGAAGATATTCCTAAAACAGCTTTTCGAACTAGGTATGGATACTATGAGTTCATACTCATGCCATTTGGACTAACCAACGCATAAACCATCTTCATGGATTCGATGAACAAAATTTTCAGATAATTCTTGGATCAATTCGTTATTGTATTTATCGATGATATCCTGTTCTATTAAAAAAGCAGAGAGGAACACGCTCACTATCTGACTTAGGTTTTGCAGGTTCTCAGAGAAAAGAAGTTGTATACAAAGTTGAGTAAGTGTGAGTTCTAGATCGAGCAGACTACCTTTTTAGGGCACATCATATCAAAGGATGGAGTGTCAGTAAGCTCTAAAAAAGTTGAGACAGTGCTTAGCTGGGAAAAATTGACATCGGTCAAGGAGATTCGTAGTTTTCTGGGGATGTCAGGTTATTATCACAGGTTTATGGAAGGATTTTCTAATCTAGTTGCTCCTTTGGCTCGGCCCACAAAGAAGAACATCAAGTTTGAGTGGAACGAGGACTGTGAAAGGAGTTTTTCAAAACTAAATAAGCGATTGACTGTTGTACCTGTGTTGGCCTTGTCAAGTAGGACAAGTGGATATACAGTTTATAGTGATGCCTCTTACTTGGGGTTGAGTTACGTTCTAATGCAGCATGAGAAGATCATAACCTATGGGTCTAGGTAGTTGAAGAATCATGAGAAAAACTACCCCACCCATGACTTAGAACTTGCTACGATTATCCACGCCTTGAAGACTTAGCGCCATTACTTGTATGATGAGACTTTTCAGATCTATATCGACCATAAGAGGTTGAAATACATATTCACTCGAAATGATCTCAACATGGGTCAAAGAAGATGGATAGAACTCCTCAAAAACTACGATTGCAATATCTTGTATCACTTGAGTAAGAACAATGTGGTAGTCGACGCACTCAACAGAAAAAGTGCAGGTATATTAGCTCACATAATGGTTTCAAAATAAAAGGGTAATAGGGGCCACATAACAGGTACGACTTCAGGACTTGAAGACAGTTACATGTTTGGCCCACCTAATTGTTCAACCTAAGTTGATCCAAAGCATAAAGGAAGCCTAATTCACCGATTCTACCCTAGCAACTCTCAAGAAAGATGCAGAACAGTGAGTAAATTTAGAATTTTGAGTCTCTGCTGATGAGTTGCTTAGATTTCAGGACAGAGTGTGTGTTCCATGTAACAGTGAATTAAAAATGAACATCATGACAGAGGCTCATATCTCAAAGTTTGTCATACATCCCGGAAACACTAAGATATATCAAAGTATGCGACCCAGATTTTGGTGGAACGGGATGAAAAAAGAGGTGACCGACTTTATTTCTAAGTATTTGGTATGTCAGCAAATCAAGGTAGAGCATCAACACCCAGACGGGCTACTTCGACCATTACCAATTTTGGAGTTGAAGTGGGAACACATCATAATGGATTTCGTGACAAGATTACCTAGGACACACTCGGGACATGATGCCATTTAAGTAATTATTGACCAGTTCACTATGTCTTCCCACTTCTTGGCCATCGATATGACCGACCCCTTGGACAAGTTAATAAGAATGTATATCCGGGAGATAGTCAGGTTGCATGGAGTGCAGTGATAGTAGTTTCCAACAGAGACCCCAAGTTCACTTCTCGATTCTAGTATAGTTTTTAGCAAGCCATGAGAATGAAACTGTCTCTTAGTACCACATTCTACCCTCAAACTGATGGATAATTAGAAAGGACGATTCAAACACTGGAGGATATGCTCCGAGCTTGTGTTCTTAACTTCGGGGGCCATTGGGATGATCATTTACCCTTAATAGAGTTCGCCTACAATAACAACTACCAAGCAAATATCGGCATGGCTCCATACGAGGCATTATATGGCTGCCCATGCAGATCACCGACATGTTGAGAAGATGTGGGTGAAAAGAAATTATTCAGCCCAGATCTTGTGGAGGAGACTACAGCTAAAATAGTTAAGATTAGGAAGAACATCCAGACGGCTCAGAGTAGGCAGAAGAGTTATGCAGATACCCGGAGGAGGGATTTGAAATTTGAGAAATGTGATTGAGTGTTCTTTAAGGTCACTCTTTTCAAAGGAATCAGTAAGTTTGGCAAGATGGAGAAACTAAATCCCCTCAGTTTATTGGATAATTCGAAATCTTAGATAAAATTGATACCGCTGCTTACAGACTGACACTATCTCCAGAACTATCCAGGGTCCATAATGTGTTTCATATGTCTCTGGTACACAAGTACAACCTGGACCCCTATCACATCTTGGCTCACGAGCCTTTCACTCCAGGAGGATCTATCCTATGAGAAGGTAGCGGTGGGCATTGTGAACCGAAAGAGCAGAGTACCCCGCAACCGAAAAATTTTCTTCGTTAAGGCTCTATGATAGACTCACACACAAAGAGATGCCACATGGGAGCTAGAATCAAACTTTAGAACCAGTAGCCCCAACTGTTTGATTGAGTGAGAGGGAGACAAATTTGATAGACCAAATTTTTTTTTAATGAGAGGAGAGTTGTAATATCCGAGCTTGAAATTTGGCTCAGGATTAATTTTAAAATTAAAAAATATATATAAAAATATAATTTTTAAAATTATAATTTTTATTTAATGTAAAATTAATTTCAGGCCCGGGATTAATTTTAAAATTAAAAAAATATATAAAAATATAATTTTTAAAATTATAATTTTTATTTAATGTAAAATTAGGAAAAAAAATAGGTGGATGATGAAATTGAAAACAATTTTGAGAAAAATGGGTAAAAATTTGGGTTTGAGAATATTTTTGAAAGAAAAATAAAAAATTTGGGGTCAAAATACAATTAAAAAAATTACGCCACGTAAGATGTCCAGTCAGCAGCCCCGACGAACCGGAGCGCATCATGTAACAAGGCATGCTGACTCGGTGCCATATGGGAGGGCGTGCTGGCAATCTGCATCCCGACGATCGGACGGCCCGGATTCGTTCCCGCGTGCGTGGACAGTCCGGATCCGTTCCCTCATTAGATACGATCGAACGATCGCGATTAAACATGATGAACGATCTAGATTCGTTCTCTCTTTAAATGCTATCGTATGGTCCAATCTAATCACGATGAACGGTGCAGATTCATTTCTTCTTTAAATGCGATCGGACAGTCGAGATCAAACACGATGAACGATCTACATTTAAAAAAGATGGGTATAAATATCGCACATCACACTGAATCCAAACCCTAGCCACTAACCTCTCGGCTGGAGAAGAAGAACCAATCGCTGAAGAAAGGAGCCGACCGCCGCCCGCCGCTACGCTAGAGCCACCTCCGACCGCCAAAAAAGGTAAAAATTCTGTTATTCGCTCAGAATTTCATTTTGAACACCCCCATGGCCAAATTGAAGCAAAAAAATGACGAATGAGCCGAAACTGCAAGTAAAACCCGACGGCGCCGCAACAGAAAAAAAATCAAAAATCGCTTCCGATGAGCCCCTTTCTGTTTCCTGTTTCGTGTGATTTTTCCACCATTGTGTTCACCATTCTGTTTTCTATAGGTTGATTGAAGAAAAACACCTAGTCGCGAAGGTGAGCCGGCGTAGCCACCGTACCGAAAAATCCTACAGTCGGTAAGTTTTTATTTTTCGACTTTTTTTGACCAACTGAAGCCTCGTAACGTGTTTTCTCGTAGGGATGTGTATAAAACCAACCGAAACCAGCTAAAACTAGCCAAAAACGACCAGTCTGAGGCAAACTGCCACTGCGGGCAGCGGTGCCGTTGCCGAAGCACGATGGTGCTGCCATGCCAGAATTTTGAAATTGACCGAAAAAGAGTTTTAACACTAATTTTGGATTTTTTAGAGTATTTCTAGGTACATGAAGCGTGTTTTAATGTCCACAGAAAATTTAGAAAATCTGAGAACTGCCAGTAGGCGTAGTAGAAAGTTCAATATTTCAGACATCGATTCGAGTAAGAATCCATCACCTTATTTCCTGTTATGGAATTGAAGTATAATTATCAATAATACGGTATTTTACGTAATTTAGAAAGATTTGAGAATTAATTACAGATTATTAATGAAACCAGAACCGGTTATTTATTATTATTTTTCTGTTTAACCGAATGTTTGATTTTACAGCTTTAAATACATGATAATATACTAGAATTGGTAAAATGATTCAGTTGTGTTTTCTTGATGCATGTATTATTTGTCTTGCATTGATTTACAGTTAAATTGTGAATCTAAAAAGTAAAGGTAAACAGAAAATTGATTAGTTAATGAATGAATGGTAGCCTTACTGGATATCCTGTGAGATGATAGACGAACCAGGTACATAGGAAACTTTACCGTGAACGTCGCCTCATACCGAACGGAATATCGAGAATTGGTATTTATGACGCTCATACCATACGGGATATGGGGACGACATTGTTTCACCCTCATACCGGACGGGGTATTGAGGGATAGTATTTTTTGCGCTTATACCGAACAGGATATTAAGATGGTCGGTTAGTTAACAATGTTAGATGTTGGTTCATGCGTAGTGGGACATCCCTATGGACCCCCATGGATACCAGTAGCAAATAAAAAGAAAAAAGTTGTTATTCTTACTTACTTGAATATGAGATTATAATATTGTTGAGTTATTGTCTCTATAGGTCGGTTTTGAAAATCTTGCAACGGTAAGTATGCAATAAATGATTTTACTTATGATAAATGAATTTACTTAAATTAAAATGTCCATTGGTTGTTTTTATGATTTTTACCAATCTTCAATTTCTGTATCGGTGAGTAGTGTGATATTCTTATTAAGCCAGTGTAGCTCACCCTTTCATTAACTATTTCAGATCAAGAGGATCAAGATCCAAATTCCGATCAACAAGGAGATTGTAAATACTTTACTACCCGAACTTCTTCAAAAGCTAGTGAAAATCGTTCTAAAATGCTCAGTTGTTTACTTTTCGTTTATTTATTTAATTTTTATTTTTTTTAAAAGGAACATTTTTTAAATCCTATTAGATATTATAAATTATTGTGTAACGAATTTAAACTTAATTTTATTATTTCGCTTTCACATTAAATTTATAATTTATTTCCTTTTAAGTTCCTAACCATTACATAAACGTATGTAATATACCACTTATCATATAACAAAAAAATTTATATAAAAAAGGAGTATTAATTGTGAAAAATAACAAAATAAATAACTCTCTTCTTATGCCGCATTAATCTAAAGGTTAACTATTTAGTGCATTAATCAAAGTATATAAAATATTCTCTCATGTATGTATATAAACTCTTGATGCATCATTTGATGCATGCAAGATTAATAGATCCACCATAATCCACGTGTTTTAATCCATAGACATTAGAACGATATTCATAACTTCATAGTTCTGTAGAGGTTGCAGAAAGTTAAAAAGTATTCCTAAACTTTTATAATGAATTACATAAGATGAAGTATAATTATTTACATATATATTATCTATCAAATAACTTTTATAATGAATAACATGATATAAAGTATAACTATTATGATTTTAATGAATAAAAAAATAGAAAATAATTAAAATTGATAAAATTTAAAATACATTATTTTAATTTCACTCGAAAATCATTTAAGAAATGCCACCTTTAAAACAAATTTTACTGTATCACAAACAACCAAATAGCAATAAATCTAAATTTTATCTCAAAAAGTTCATTTTTACCTACATAGCTTTAGGATTTACATTATGCCGCGCACAGCTATTTCCACCTATGTCCAGCAGCCAGTTTGATTAAATGCACTGAAGAGAAGATATAAGGGTATTTGTATGTATCATTGAAAATGGTCTCGAGCATTGAACTGTTCGACAAACCCGTACCTCCCTATAAAAGATAGCCATCAAGTACATCATAAGATTGGTAATCACTGGCAAATGAACATTTTCTTCACTCAGCAGCCAATCAAGCTTCTTTCTTATTACACAGATGCCATCAAGGCCTCAACCTACAATTAACTTTGCAAGAATTATAAGAACAAAACCTAAAAATTGTCTGATTGAGGCAGTCCAATTTCATAACATCGTTGAGCAACTTAGAGATCACACGGAAGCTCAAAATAAACAATCATGGATGTCTATACCAAAAAGTTGGCTGTATAGTGGTATGCTCATTTCGTAGCTCGTTGTCTAGCATCAACCTTATTTTATGTTTGAACAAATAGGCAATCCATGGACATCAACTATGTCTTCGTTTTCCAGAAGTTATATTACACACCTTAATAATGCCACGTTCATATAACTCTTGCATAATATGCACCTTATAAAAGAATGACTAAACATTAAACTAAAATCATATAAAAAATATTAATACTAATAGCTCGAAGTACCTTATGCTCATTGGCGATTTGAACGGAGGGATAGTAAATGTGCAGTTAAGGAATCATAATCAGGAAGCTTTGGGTGAACATGACTAGCTTTCTCTGTAGGTGGAGCCTCTTTTGTTGGAGTACTTTCAGCTTTACTAGATGTTACTGACTTTGGAAGAGACTTGGAAGGTTGATCCTTTGCTGAAAAGTCTAAACTTCTGGCAAGTGTGGACCTCTTGGATCCTGAAATCGATGTAGAAACTGCTTGATCAGCCAATTCAGGTGGCATTGAACTACCAGATTGGTATATGCTCTTGTTTTGGTGCTGCGACTCTGATCTATTTTCAGTTGCGTAGGAACTTTTTCTACGGGAATTTCTCTCAAT